TTTTTCATGTCATGTTTTGGAAATGGGAAAATAGTACGTAGAAAGCTAATTTTACAAAATTTTTGTCTATCCGACGAAATTATTGTTCAACAAAATAATCTTACATACGTCGTCATAAATATTGACCTGATGAGTGGGAACTCGTATTATTATCGCTAAGAGTGTTATTAACATTGTTTGAATTATCATTACGTTGTGCCCTCTGCGGTAACGCCACTACATTTTCACCAAAGCCTTGAGGAAATGGCATTGAATTATTAGTGTCGCTATCTGATGTTGAATTATTACTCAACGGTGGAGGTAACATCAGTGAGTCGGTGGTATGAGATGTTCTTCTCCTTCCACGAGGATTAAGAGGTGAGTTCATGGGCTGTGCTTGGTATATTTGTGATTTATCGCTTCCGTTTATTGTTGATGACGAAGAAGGGCGTGTCGATGACGGGATGTAACCGTCATCCGATGACGATTGAATATACCTTTGTAATGAATTTCGATAATAAATATATTTCTCACGTTCCCATTCAGCCCATCGCTTCATCACGATCTTTGAACTATCAAACTCGCCCTGCTTCCTTGAGTGATCTGCACCCGCTTCTTCGCCTTCCACAACGCGAGTCTGACCCCATGAAAAATCATCAAAGTGCCAATATGCATATACTGGAAGGACAAAGTTCCAAATGGGTAGTGAGAAAAGGTAAATGATCATCCATCCGACGTAAATGAGTTTACGGGTAGTCAGCATTATGAGTATCGCGGGAAGACCGAGTACCACGGCCAGAAGTGCGAGGGGAATATAGGGAATAGGGCGTTGAAATGTGGAGATGATGATAAGGTACATGGTGAAAGAAATGGCTGCTGGAAGTACAATCGTGCCAACCAATTCCATGAAAATAACGAATTGCATGGAAAAGCAAAATATTCCGCACAAGTCGGGAATAAGTACAAGCTCCAAAAGATTATGCACAGTAGAGTTGATCCATCGACGACGTTGCGAACGAAGCACCTTGAATGTATCAGGAACGATCGTTTTGCAAACGGCCTGAGGAACAAATACCAATTTACGTTTCGGAAATGTTCGAAGCATGAGAGTTGTGAGGTAACGATCTTCACCGAGAAGCAACAGATTTTTTTTGTGGAGTGTATCGACAATATTTTCAGAATAGTGTTCAACAATGTCCGGATTTGCGAGTATAGGAACCCAGTACCCCTTTGGGCCCTTTGGTGCTTTGATACGATACATACAGAAACATCCTGGTAGGCAAGTGACACCACCGAAGATGGACTCGAACGCTTTCTGCATGTGATGGGAAATGTAGTACTCGAAAACTTTTTTAAAAAATAAAATAAAAATCAATTAGATAAAATTTAATACGTTGAAATCGATCGTAGATTAATTAAGGTGAACATAGATACCCTGAATCATCGTAACCCAACTGTCGGACTTGTTGGCAATCCTTGTTTCACCACAAAGTCCCATTACTCCCGGATCACGAGACATGCAAGCAACCATGCGAGTTAGCGAGTCCGGGAAAATCTTGGTGTCCGCGTCAACCTGATTAATTTTGATTGTTTAGCCTGGCGCAATCATTTCAAGATAAAAAAAAAGGTCAACTGACTTTCCAACCTACCATTAAAACCAACTCGTAACAATCGGGAGTAACGCCGCTAACCGTTCTAATGGCGTTAAAGAATTCATACTCAAGTGGGGTCATCCTTTCGTCGAACATCACCTTTTGTAGGAAACTTATCAAAATCATCTGAGAATCACGTTTGCCTCGATTTCCCTGTTTCGGGTCATCATTTTCCTCAGGTCCACCACATTTCACAAGGGTGATCATGGGTATACGACGAGATTTTTGAGAGTCGTCATGGTCATTATACTTGTAATAGCCAGCATAGACTCTAGCCATGTTATGGCGTTTTTTACCATCAGCGATGGCAACATAGGAATGAGCTCGAACTTTATCCACCGGTATAATGAAATCGCTCATCAAGGAGAGACATATTTCTGGCGTCGATAATCTATTACCGACACCATATATTATGCCATCCGCAATGCACATTATGATTTTGTGAGATGCTGGGTAATCAGTAGCAGCTAATGAATCTAGTGTTGTCTTTATACCTTGTCTCCCCTCGGAGTAACATGTGACTAACAAGATGGTATGCATCAATTCAAAATTGAAACGTTGTTCGACTACGATAGGATTGTTTTGATATGATCCTTGTGAAGAAGTCAGAGAATCAGTTCGACTGTTGGTCTCATTTATTGACGGTGTTTGCGATCCGTTGCTCGTATCATTGTTTGCCGCTACGGAAGAACCATTAGTTTGCGGTTGGTGAATAAGAGAGCTAGCGGAACCGTTGCGAAATTTCTTCTCACCATGTCCCGAGTGATTGGTATAAACTTGTCGGCTATTATAACGACCATCGCGCCTCCTGTATGATGGTGCAGCAGGGATAGGTGTTTGCGATGAGAACCGGGACTTACTCATAAAGTTGAAGGAAGTTGAAGAACTTATTCTTGAATCCCTGTAGTTCAAATGTCATTTGTTTTAATAATAATATTTTTAAAGAAGTTCATTGGTTGAAAGAAAAAAGATACCACTTACCTCCCGTTGGGATCGTAAACATGATTGTTGATATCTTCCCATTTTTCAATTGCTTGATTCCTTTTTGCAATGTCTTCTGCAGTTTCTTCTCGGAAGTTTCCCAGGCGCCAACTCAACACCCAGCCAAATAACACCGCCAAGAAGAATCTAACCAAAACTACCGCGACAATAACTATAAGCGACACATTTGTTATCACATTTGTAATAACACAGCCAATGGTGCTAGTATCGACAACTCCTACTCTAATTGTTTCTAACAAACAACGTGCAATTTTCTTGTTTGCATCGTTCCTTTGCAGGAGGGAGGTGACATCACGACCTTTAAAGTTTTTTCCTGCCAAATTAAGAATTCGGTTGTCCACAATAACATTAGGAATTGTCCACTGCAACCGATCAAGGTCAAGAACTTGTCTACATTATACAAGAGATGAAGTTAATAAGCAACCTCTTTACGTAAAATTTTCAAGCCTGCGATAATGACCAAGAGATGACTTGCCCATTGTAAACTATGAAATCACGATCCTTTCGAGTAACATAGTCCCAATCATAATATAGGTCACCAACATAT